ACCTGCCACAACACCTGGCTATTTTTTTGTTGTAGTTTGGCCAGGGCCAGGCTTGAACCTGCCACCCTCAGTATATGGGGCCAGTGGTTCTACCTACTGAGCCACAGGCACTGCCCTATTTTACACATTTTTAATGAATGAAATGATTGGTTGGATTCACTGCACATTTATAGAAATTTTGCAAGCAGAGATTAAATTAAGAACACTAGATTTAACTGCCTAAAATAGTTGTATTCTGTACTGAAGTTTTCTTATTTAAAAAGACCATTACATTAGGTATTTGACTTTAAAAGATTCTTTTTCCTTTGGCACTCAAAATGTGGAAAAATATGAAGATACTGCTAAATGAGGATTTTTCTAGGAATAATGTCTTTCTAAAATACAGAGTTCTGAAACAGAGCTAGAGAAATCATAAGTTCCAGCATAGAGGCCTTCATCACAAAATTTCTTTTGAAATTCTCTTTATCATAAAAGATACCCTCACACACAGAAAAAACTTAAGGAAAAACCACATTAGTATCTAAAAGTTTTTGCATAAAAAGACTAAAAATTGGAAGAGAAATAAATTTATTACAGAGGTCTTTTAGCAGGAATTAGGGGTTCAGCGCCCATTGCTCACTGGTTAGGGCACCAGTTATATGCACTGGGGCTGGTGGGTTCAAACCTGGCCCAAGCCTGCTAAATAACAATGACAACAACAACAGCAACAAATAGCTGGGTGTTGTGGTGGGCACCTGTAGTCCCAGCTACTTGGGAGGCAGATGCGAGAGAATCTCTTAAGCTCAAGAGGTGGAGGTTGCTATGAGCTCTTGTTATGCCATGGCACTCTACCGAGGGTGACATGGTAAGACTCTGTCTCAAAAAAAAAAAAAAGAAAAAAAAAGGAATTAGGAATATGTGGCAGTTTAATGTACATGTAGCATATGTTTTAAATTTACAATTTGCTTTCAAATTAAGTATCTCTCTTGTATCCATGTAGCCATTTAACCCAGTCCTGTGGCATATGTGTGATGTATATGTGTAATTTTAACAGAGTTCTTCTTTAGATACAACCTTTTTGTTGTCATGTATATTGTAGGTATCTTCTCTTATGCTCCGGCATGCTTTTGTATGCTCTTCTTAATTTGTCTTTTTTTAAAATTTGTCTTTTGAAGAACAGAAAAATGTTAATATACTTCTATTTATTGATCTTTCTAATTATGGCACAGGTTTTGTGTACTGTTTAGTTTTTCCTTACCACAAGATCAGGAATGTATTTTTCTATATTATGTTATATTATTGAGAAACTCTTTAACTAGATCTTATTAACTAGATATTAGTAAACTTAAAAATAATGTTGTATTTGGTAAAAATATGTTATCTTTTTAATTGTCCTGGTTGCTGGTGATATAGAATATTCTTTCCTGTTTTTGGCTCTTTGGATATTGTTGGTGAATACTATGGATTTTACTTACACTGATAAATTGTAGTGTGTGAGTTAAGGTTTGGGAAGCAGCAGAATGTTGACATTACCTTACTTGTTTTATTTTGAGATTTTTTTTTTTATTTCTAAATTTTTTTTTTCTTTTTTTTATTGAACGGTAACTATGTACATTAATGCACTTCTGGGGTACAGTGTGGGGTTTTCACATGCAATCTGAAATACTTCCATCAACTGGTCAACACAG